ACGTTTGAGGTCACGTCGTTACTTTTCACAGTTGAAGAACTTGCAGACATATTGGATTGAAATAAACAAAATGTATTAAACTTGTAAGAATGTAGGGAACCACCGACCCATCACCACTTTGTGAGTAAACGAAAGCGACGATAATAGGGTGCTAAGACGTCCAGCTCGTTCAGGACACGGCCTGACACTCGAACGACCGCTTGAGAATAGGAGCAGTCATGAGCAACATGGGGAAGATCATGGCCGTGCCGCCGCACGAGGGAACAACAATGAAAATTTTGAGGCTTTATATGGATGAGCGTGGGAAAGTGGATTAGGGCAGGTCGTGGAAATGCAATGGGCCCAAAGCAAGGTTTTAGATTAGATGTAGCCGTATGATACCTTTATTGATCCTATATCCTTCCCCAATACCCGGGGCCATATAACTCTGTGATCTGTTGACAGGATATCTCTGATGTCGCTGTTTCTGTGTGTCGATTGTGGTGGCTCAAAGACTTCTGCCGTCATCTCCAATCCTGATGGCACCATCCTCGGAAGAGCACTGGGCGGTCCTTCCAACTTTGCGTATCTCTCACTCCACCAGTTCATCTTGGCTGTAACTGAAGCTGTCTCTGATGCTCTCAAAGCCTGCTCACTTCCACACACTCTCCCTCCCTCTGGTCCTTCCCCCTTCGCCGCTGCCTCCTTTGGCGTCTCCGGTGTCGATTCTCCATCCGCCGTTGCCACAATCACCCCCTCACTCTCCGCCCTGCTCGGTATACCACCCGGCCCAAGGCTCGCAGTAGCCAACGACACCCACCTCCTCGCCGCCCCCGTCTGTCTCTACCCGGACGTCTCCCATGCCGTCGCCGTAATCGCAGGCACGGGCTCCATCGCCGTCTCCTTCCGCGAACACTCCGACGGCACCATCGAGGAGCTCGCGCGCATCGGCGGCTGGGGCTGGATCCTCGGCGACGAAGGCGGCGGCTTCTCCGTCGGCCGCGAAGCAGTCCGCCTCATCCTCCTCGAACACGACCGCGCGTCCGTGACGGGTGCACCTCCGCCAGAGAGCAAGCTCACCCAACGCGTCTTGGCACGTTTCGGCGTATCACACGTCCCGGAGATCTTGCCCCTCGTGCACCTGCCGGATAACCTCGCCGCAGTGGGCGGAGACGCGTCTGCTGCTCCCGCAGCGACAGAAACGACGGACGCGGAAGCGGAGACGCGCGCACACATACGCCAGGCGCGCGAGAAACGCCTGTCGTCGCTCGCGCCCCTGGTGTTCACTGCCGCGTTCGAGGACGACGACGCACTGGCGCTTCGCATCCTCCGCAGCACCGCCAGCCTCCTAGTCGACGAGATCGCTGTCCTCCTGGACCCCGCCGCCCCGCGCGGCGTGCGCGCGAGCGAGTGCGTCATATCCTTCGGTGGCTCCCTCGTCGGCATCGACAAGTATCGCGCTGTGATATTGGAGGACTTGGAGAGGAGGGGGCATGTTTTCAAGTATGTTGAGTTCGTGGATGATGCTGCGGCCGTTGGGGCCAAGGGGCTCGCGGCCGCGGCGAGGATTGCTGCTAGTGCTGTGCGTACTGCTTAGACGGAGGATAATTTATACGTGTGTGTTTACGAATCACAGTCGAGATCGAGGAAGAGGTCGGTGGCCACCGTGCTTTGTGCGTTTCTTGGCTCTTGCAAGGCTGTTCTCCTCTGTCGCTCTACCTCAGGCTCCAGCATTCATTGAACAAGTGTGGTTGATCGTGAACTAGCCCTTCCTCTAGGCAACTCCAGCAGTTTTTGTGTATACTCCTCAGTTGTCGGTCCATTTAGTTCAACTTATTCAGCTGAATGCGAGCCCTCTGAATGCGAGAGTTGTACTTGGTGCGCGAGCACCATCGCTCGTAACTGTCCTTGCGAAAATTTCCTTGCTACCAGCCTTTACGAACGAGGATGGTTTTACGTTGCCCTTCCATTGCTAACAGCTTGTTCTTGGATTGACTCAGGCGCGTAATCGACGATGTAAAACCCTGGCGAGTAACATATATTTGCACTTACCGCACGACATATGCCAGTGTCTATGATTCATGAATTTGGGGCTATTACGATTGTTCCGTTCGTACCACTGGAGGCTATCTGCATCCTGGCGTTAATGTTTAATCAGGGAATTATGACTCAGTGTTGAGTATACAACTTTGACTTGGGACTACTGTGGCGTATCACCTCACCAGTCTCATCTCCTTGGGCACGGCCCTACTCGTCAACTATATCTCCTCCATCGCCGATGAATTTCTCAACTTTAGCCCCTTGACTGCAGAGGATACACGTTTCGCTCCAGCACGGGCACCAGCGGATGGCATTGGCGGCCAAGTTGGCCTTTCCCTCCGGCTTCTACAAATTTGCTCGGCAGGCCGGCTTGATTCCCAATCAAAGTCTACTTGGCACTTTTGCTCTCCGAATCCGCGGCATCATGACATGACGGTTCCAAGAACAGCACTAAATTTATGTCGACTAGCGGGCATCTATGCCATACATACCATGATGTATGGAAAGAAAAAATACACCGCTATTCAATGATCTGCGCTCATCTGCGCTCATATGTACCAGACTCGGCGACCGTGTCCTCTCTCCACCTAAACGCACGCTTGCTTCCAAAAGCCACCGATCCTGTACTAGTTGTCTCCCTCTTGCTTTTTCTTGGGTCAACTCGGACTCGCTCTATCAGCCCTGACTAGGCTGTTGATCGAGGTAGTAAACTATGATCCTGACACTGTGACAGCATCTTATTGCACGTTGCGCGACATACAGTACGTCCCTGAATTTCAGTTTCACCTTCTTTCAGTGATTCCCTCTTGGGATTCTTATCGCGATCATTCCGTTCGTCCTGGAGGTTATCGAAATAGGCACTCGTGGCGTTAACGTTTTCAAATCGAGGCTTGGATGTTCGATCTTTTTTTCTTCTCTTTCTTTGGAATTCACCTAGCCTCAACAGTGCTCTCTCATTACTGTAGTCGAACACATGCACACACACTCAGGTCATCTCCTTGTTCTGCTTATTGTCTATTATCGTATGGGGAATTTACGCGTGCCGAGAAGAAAAAACGTGTTTACGTCCTCCAATATGGCAGCATGTCCGCATCTCTGATGCAGGGTCGACGACGTCCTTGATTAAAGATTCAGTCACTCACTGTCAAAAACATGGCCACCATAAACCCACAGCGTTCCATCTAAGTAGTTTCATTGAGGCTAGAGGCCAACTACGGACGCGAACAGAACACCTCAGTCGCTTGGACAACTTGAGTCTATGCCCCTTTGACAAATGTCTTCCGCGTAATACCCAAAATGGGTCCTACAGAAAAGGTTTAAAAGGCCTCCAGAGTCAAGAGGATTCTTCAGTTCAGCGACTTCTCATCGTTCTACTACCACTTCACTCGTACTTCTCTTCACTAACTAATCCACTAATCGCCATGTTCGCTCGTCTCTCTGCTGCTGTCCTCCTCGCTCTCCCTCTCCTCGCTGCTGCTGGAGAATCTGGAGGATGCTCCACCGGGACTCAGGTGTGCTGCAACAGCGTCCAGGATGTACGTCGTCAAGTTGTACTTTCTAGCAGAGTCTCCCAGGTTATTGATTGTATTGTTTTCATTCAGGCTAAGAGCGCTGGTGTCGCCAACCTCCTTTTCAACGTCCTCGGTGTTGCTGCTAGCGGCGTCACTGGCCAAGTCGGTGGTATGTCCACATCACAGATTTGAAAAGTCGTGTGGCGGGTTGACTGATGTGTCACCTTTGTACAGTCACTTGCAGCCCCATCACTGCCCTTGGCGTCGCTGGCAATTCCTGCAACCAACAGACCGTTTGCTGCGACAACAACAACTTCGTGAGTGCCCTCTTCGCTCTGTTGCTCCGCTGTGACAGTCGGTTAAATGCATTCTTTGCGTAGAACGGCATCGTGGCTATTGGCTGCACCCCCATTAATGTCAACCTTTGAGCGGGATAGTGGCAACATTGTATTACGGTCTTTGTGTGGTTTGGCGCAGTATACCCTAGTATACCCTAATCGGATTTCATTTTCTTGACTA